GCGACAGGGAGATCCTGTAGAACGTACCTAGTCCTGCATCCTTTCATGCTAATTTCTAGCATCGGATCGTTGACTTGGTACATTCGCAGATGCTTCGCCAATTTTCTCTTCAGCCGTTGTGACATTACTCCTCGCTCCTGTTTTGTGTTTCACTTTCTAGTGTTGCATCTCTCTAAACTCTACTTCATATCGCTCATTTACCAATCCACACAATTCTTTGCTCTCATTTCTTCCAATGTCGCCTAAGAGTATGTCGCTTTAAGTAGATTTATTGAAGCGTAATCATCTTCACCACGGGTTTCAGACGCCGTTTGCAGGTCTTCTGGTCATGGCTTCTGACTTCCAGTTAGCCCTTCTTCATTATAAGGGTAGCGGTCATAGCTTTTCAGCCAGTTCGTAGAGGGGTTGGCATATCAATCGTTTTTCTCCGTCCTGCTATCTGCTCATCACGATCCCTATTTTGCATTGTATTGCCTTTTATGGATATTCGTTTCCAAGACATATCCGAGTTAGTTTTTTTCGGACAATCTTCTCGAAACTCACAATCGGTGAGTCTTAGGCTACTTATGACCATATTCTTGAGTATCCCAATCTCTATAATGCATGTATAGTGAAATTTGAACTTAAGGGTTATTCCTGCATGTGATTTATTTCTGAACAGCCGTTTTTTGAGAGTCTTCTAGAAGCGAATGACCTCCATTTTCAGGAAAGTGTCCGTTCTCTTCCTCATTTATTGCAGATTTGATTATTTCATCCATGCTGTTTAAGAAGATCAGAAAATCGCCCAGAGTGCGGAGTATTCATCCAAATATCGCGTAATAACTGTTGGTTGCTGAGATGGTGTTTTGTAATTCTCTTCCCACTTGTTCATGTAGACATTAACCATCAGAGGTGAGAGCGGTGAGCTCAAAAGGCAGACAATTTGGTCGTTAAATGAATAATTCTTCTGGTTGGGTTGAACAACTGAGTTAAATAGTCTCTTTGAATTCGCTCCGTCTCCACGATGTTGTCTTCCCTTATCAAGATCTCCAGTAGTGCCGTGAGCGCTTTTTATCCTGAGATTTTGGTGTACATGGACTGTACATTAAACCTCAATGATAGTTCGCATCCCTCCAAACTGGTATCTTTGATTCATTGGCAAAATTTGCATGAATCCTTCAATGTACTCGATAATCTGCCATTCATCTTCGTTAACTGGAGGCGATTTGAGGGAACATCTGATAAGCGAGGTGGAGGGGGGCTAAATGAAAGTCAGAAGCACCGCGAATGGTATCTGAAACTAGTGATAAGGGTTATTATGCTTCACTAAATTCTTTTAAAGCGGCACACTCTTGGGCGACATTAAAGAAGACAATAGAAGGTAGGACTAAGACTAAGGGCGAGAAGTGATGCCACAACGGCTGAACAGATGACTATCGGTTTCACTTGCCACTTTGATGCGCTGTTGCTTTGCGCTAAGCATGCCGCCTCTCATTGACGAGGCCGACTACGATCTCAGCGAGACGTTTGGGAATGTACCAAGTCAACGGTCCGACGCTGGAACTTATCATGATTGCTGTGGCAGAAGACGCACGACTAGGTACGTTCTACAAGGTCTCTCTGTCGCTCTGATCAAGTTGTGAAAACACGATCAAACCAACACTTCACTTGGCATTGCCTCCTAAATGGCTATCTAATCCAGGGAGAGTGCATTTTCGGCCTCTGATGATTCCTGGATGAGATTTAGTGGTAAGGCTAAGTGAAAACGAATGGCATCGTGAGACCTATTCATTTGATTCGGACTTGAATCCACCTGTAGAATGTAACCAGTCATACATCCTTTTCCACAGTAGCCATGATTATTTCTAACATCGGATCATTGACTTGTTACATTCCCAGGCGTCTCATCGGAGTCGTCAGTGCGAAACGCCAGCCTTAGTGCAGAATTACATTTCATCAAGTCACCTTAACCAAAAAGTGGTTTGACCTCACTCTCGCAACTTGGTCGTGTCATCAGGGCGATCTAATTGGACACATCATGTCCAAAGTCCTCTCTCATAGTAGTTATGATAATACCGACATATATATATGTAGAAAGGAGGAGATAAGGATAATCAAACTTTGATGGTCGAGAACAGACGTTACTTTTTCTGTCCTAATTACTTTGAGCCATCATTGCTGGTTTCGTGAATAAGCGAACACAAATAGGCACATACACACAGAGACAGACACACTCACAGGCTCCGGGGTTGACATATGACGGTAACTAACCAATTCACTTTATACCTGACCAAAGAGGCCAGGCCAGAATATATATACAGATTTTAAGGAATTTGTCGACGAGTTTTCTTGACTCGTTAGCTTGAATTTGGTTGTGACGATGATACCTTGCTCTGATGGTGTTCATCATATGACGGATGAAAGCTTAGCACCTTTTCACTCGAATCGAAGGATATTACCTCGGATACAGCGTCAGCATGTTAGTTCCAGTAAAGCCAATCGCCAGATGGTCAGGAGGAATCCGCCGACAATTTTCTGGTGGAATCGATCTTCGATTCTCTTCACCAAACACTTTCACTCGAAATGGCATTGAGCTGAATAATTATGAAACAAGAGATTCCTCGAAACCCAACTTTTCTTCGCAGATAATCCCCACCGTCGGACCGTAGATTTGGTATATTCCTAGGGCCCTCACCGGCAACTTAATCTGCATTGTCAGTGATTCTTTACTTTCTCAGCACCAGGCTACAACTCGCCAAAGAAGTCCATCCCTTGACAAACATTCCGTCGAACGGTTGTGCTATCACTTCTCTTTCTGTCCTGGCACATCTACCTAGTCCCTACTCTCTTATCTTTCTTCCGCCATATTACAACTTTTAGCTTGTTTATATTCCATTCCTTTAGAGGTATGGCCTTTTTGACAAGTTTAGTGAGGAAGAAGCAGGGATACCACATCTGTTCTGCAGACAGTTGATCAAAGGGTCAACTTCATTTGTTTTTGATTCTACTTACATACGAAAAATAATTATGGTGTGCTTTGCCAAGATTGGAAAGGCTCGCTAATGATGCCAGTGAAACGTCTGGGAATTTACCAAGTCCACGATTCTATGCTGGGAATTGTAATAACTACTATAGCATAGGTGCGTCGAACTTGGTCGCTTGGTAACACGACCAAGTTGTGAAAACGACGTCAGACCTCAACCAATTTAGAGATCACAATATCTTGGTCTTCATATCTAGCATCTAGAATGAGCTTTTTTTATTCAATGATTACTGATAGTTTCAAAAAATACACCAAAAGTAAGCAGAATGATACCTTTTGTTTGACCTTGTCTTCGCAACATGGTTATATTGGTAGGAAGACTTAGAGGAACACGCCTAGTCCGGAGTCCATTGTCTGCATGATCATTTCCAAAGTCGAACCGTGGATGTGGTACATTCCCAAACGTTTCGCCGGCATCGTCAGTGAGTATCGCCATTCTTAGTACCATACAACAACTCGTCAGAGACAAGTGAAGCCGATCCTACGACCAAACGTGTGCTAAACAGTTGTGACCATGAGACTTACTCAGAGGCTTTAGCCTTGTATCAGTCACCCAGGTGCAGGGTATGTACCACGTCCACGGTTCGACTTTGGAAATGATCATGCAGA